TTTGTGTATTGGAAAATCAATTGAGTTTATTGAGATTAAATAAATACATCGAGTTTAAATAAATTTAAAGTTTTGTCAGATTTTTAATTTGTGTAACAAAATCTATTTTTCTATTGGCTATTCTATAAGTGCACACCCTCCATAAGTGCACGTGTATGGCTGACCCTAGGTGCGTGCACTTATGGAGGTGTTACTGTACTCTTAATTCTCGATCACTAAATTGATGGTTTTTTGGATATAAAATTTGTAACTGTGAATATAATTCAATAATTGGGCTTTCTTGTTCAAGCCAATCAAGAAAAAACTGGTGCCAATTGAGATTGGCTATTGTTCTTTGTTTCAAATGGTAATCATAAAGTTGTTTTATAATAGAATAGTCATTCCATTTTTTGGGAAAACATGTGGGTAATTTTGGTTTATATTGACGAATAAGAGTTTGGACAAAAGAATGTTCAAGGCCAAAGAGTTGATTTCTATTATATTTTTTTATTTGCTCCGATTTTTCCCATACAGCAATTAGCGTTTTACCTTCAAATTTTTTTTTTATTTGGTTATCCTGATAAATTTCAAGAATACATTTGTCTTCCTCAATTTTAGATACATAAATTGCTTATTTGTTACCATTAAATTTGTGTGTGAAAGATGATTTATATCTAGGACTAGCGTTAAGCCAATTTACTTGAGAAGAAATTCCTATTCTATATACAAATATTTTTAGCGAATCAACAAAAATTAAAATTGGAATGAATAAGACATCCCTTAAAAGCTGATGAATAATATCTTCATCTTGCCATCCTAATACCAAGGGACCTGAAAATCGTGTTCTATTTTCAAACATTTGTGCATATACCGAAGAAATAGCTCTGGAAGGATCATTTTTTATTTGACTAATATATGCATCACTTTGACACAAATACCCAGGTAGAGAGGTATTGTTTTTATTACCAATAATAATAGTTACAAAAAAGTTACGATTATTGAGACAGGTTTTGGTTTTTTGACCAATGCGAAGGAGAAAGAAAGTTGCATTTTCTTTGTCTACTGATGTTTTCCACTAGTAACGAGAATATGGTCCATAGTGAAATGCTTCAACTATAGAACCAAGATCAACTAGACTAACTGTAATTGTGCGGTATTTTGGCATGAGTATTAGTTACGCACGTCAGATTCAGAAATGCAATACTCGTTATAATGTTAATTATCCCCAAATTTTATTATTATGTATATAGTCACATGGTGCCGATCTTATCTGGATCGTCAATTAATCAAATTCCCTATTATATTCTTTGTTTCTATGGGTATCTCATTAATAGCCAAAAACAGTTATTACTATTACTAGTATTAAGATATTTTTGATATTTGTGTTCTTGATAATACAAGTATTCCTAAATTCTAGTCTAAAATAAAAGACATACTTATCACTGGAAAAGACAAAAATGGAGGCATCGTAAACATGAGTTTATTCTGAAAGGAATATATAAAGGCGTTCCCTATCCATGATTATTATGCAGAAAAAAGCTATATTTCCATATTGTCATACCTAATAAAGACCAAAGGTTTACTGCTCTCAATATATCTCAAACTACAATTCAAAGGTTGATCTTGAATGTAAAATAATGATAGCTTCAGACGATATAGACACATATTATCGTAAAATTACGAGAGAATATAGGGTACTACTTTTCAAGTAGGGTCTATAAGTAACTATAAATATAATTACAATGCATCTTATTATGTGAGATCCCATTATTGTCCACATGCATTTTATGTTTACATTGATAATTTTCTCTCTATAGAGAATTTTGAACCATTTTACAAAATCTATCTATCTTTTCTCTTTACTTATGATCGAGCATTGATCTTAATATAGGATATAAAAATATATAATTCACATAGATCAGAGAACTTTCCAGAAGCAAAAAATAACACATTCTAAGTTTTTACAATCAGCATGACCCTAAATTAAAAAAACAATCTAATTCTTTTAGAGAGGATATGTTTAATTGATGTAGAAATAAAACTAAATTTATGTTAGATCACAATTATATGTGAGAATCAGATAAATCTCTTAAAAGCATTCGCTTTATGTTGGAAATCTTTTGCCTTAAACATCTAGCTTAATTTTAATGATTCAGGATACAATTGGCCTTTCATTATAAAAAAGGTTACTAAATTAAATGTTCTCAAATAAATGATTTAGCAAATATCAGCAAACCTGTATAAAAAAGCTGATGCTGAATTCATCCTCACTTGGAATTATTTTGGTAAAAGAAGAAAGTCATTAACTAATAGTTTCTTCTAAAGAAACCAATGGGTAAAGAAAGTAGACAAGGTTCTTAAAAAAATATTAGGTTAAGATTCTATTAATATCAAAATTAATCCTATTTTAGATTTTGAATCATCTTTTTTTTAAACTTTTAGGATGCATGCTGATCGATGTTTATGCAAGTTTTATGCAACTTCATTCCTATTCTAAGAAAATATCACTCAAATTCTTCTTAGAAAAATGTGATTTCAATACCAAAGCTGATATACATATGAGCAAATTATAGAAGTATTATTCAGAAGCCAAAGACAGGACTTTTAATTCTTCTATCAAAAATATGCATGAAATCATAAATTATTGTGTTATAGATGCTTTAGGTTGTTAGGAGTTCATGATTTAATATAATATCATAAATGATTATAGAGAAGTCACTTCAATAGCATATATAACTTTATTTGATACAAATTATTATATCATATAGGATAGAAGAAATAACCATACTATTTATAAGATTTAGGTAACATAATTAAATTTTCATTAGTGTGATTTACATTTTTATTTACTGTATATACATACTATATTTTTTATCTTGTTATAGAATAATAAATCACAAACTAATATTTCAACTGGGAGTACCACTAGTACTATAACTGCTAGCACTAGAAACATCAAAAGTATTACTAATACTAAAAATATCAAAAGTATCATTAACGCTAAAAATAACAATAATAGCATCACCAAACTAGGTATTAGGAATAGCAACTCTGACGGTATTTTAATAGACATCTTATCAACTGACATTTTAACTAGCATCTTAACCAATGATGATTTAAGATTTAAAGGCATTGATTACCTTTTAAGAGATTTTTTTAACATTGGAGAAGACAAAATATTGAAATTTAAAAACATTCCTATTTATTATTTTCTCTAACTCAACAAGAAAAGGCTTACAAAAAGCTGTTTAAACTGAATTATATTTTAGCAAAAATATCGCTAAATTAATTAAAGGATTAAATCACATTCTTTTAGCTAAAAAAAAGCATAGTATAATTAATATGCCTTTTGATTCAGTCGTAAAATTTGCCAATGAAGTGGAGTAAGAGAAAGTATGTAATTAAGAGAATATTGAAAAAATTAGTACATAAACATGATTTACTTTTTTTTGATATACTGTAAACTTTATTTAATATTTCAGTAAAAAAAGTAATGTAGGTAAAAAATATTGAGATTTCTAATTTTATTACATATTAGTTATAATTATTTTGATCAATTTATAATAAAAATGGCATACTGTGCTATACATATTTTAGTTTTTAAAAAGTCAATTTTTATTTTTTTTTAATTTTTTCTTTTTACGCAAATATACTATGTATTAATAATTTTATTACCTCTTTTTTTTATGACTGTAACTAAAATGAAATTAGAAAATTTATAACATTATATCTAAAGTTTTTATTTTAATTCTTTTACACAGTTTTTCCTTTTTTCATTTATGTAATAATTTCTATATTCTCACGCTTCTTCTGTAAAACATTAAACAAAATATTATAGATATGCAAATTTCTGCTAATCAATCATCTATTCATATTGTAAAGTAATACTGTTAATGTATAACTTTTATTTACAGTTATTATTTTACATGATATTGTCTCTTTGCTAACATATGATGTTCTTTTTGATTCTTTTTATATGATGTTAAACAATGTCTTTGATATATAAAGTCCTACTGGTTCATCTTTTTTTGCATTACAAAAGGTTGAAAATATATTATTAATATAAATAATTCATCAAATAACTATTTAACTTTTTTCTGATTTAGTATTTTTATATCTAAAACATGGTTAAAGGTGATCAATTTTTTTTAAAAAATATTTTTCACTATAATTCTCTTCAACAAAACTTATCTTTTTTTACTTTGAAATAATATCAATAAATAGAATTTACCATGCAAATGAATTTATAATAAAGTTAAAAATTGTGAGTATTCATTATATTATTCTTTTTTCTTTAGTTCTGTTTATTTTATTTATTAAAGTTTTATTACCTTCCTTCATTTTATCTCAAGTTTTATTGTTCTTATATATGTATTAGGATTTCTGAAAATTATAACCTAGATTTCTGATTAATACTTGGTAGCCCACTCAAGAAGAATATATTCATTTATATTTAATTAGTTATCCTTATTTTAATAGTGCTTTTTACCATAGATGAGTGTATTTGGAATTAAAATCTAGGTTGTTAGAATTCTTTTCCTATTATTATTATCATTAACTAAGTCAAAAGATTTGCATATTCATATTGTGCTGAAACTTTCTTTTTTTACATAATGTTGTTATGTAAAATCTTGAATATTACTTCTGAAATTCTTAATTATTTAGTTTTTTTTAAGTGAATAATTTTGAACAGAAAGAGGTATGAAGTTATTATTGACATAATGATAAATAATTTTACTTAAATAGTTGAATTAAAAAAAAATAAAAAAAGTGATTGAATAAAAAAATTTTTTTAAATATAATTAATTGGTATTTATATTCAATATTTAGCATAACAGTAATAAAAATCAAAAAAAAAATTTAATTTTTAGAGAGATTTATCCAACCAAAAACCAAACTGATTTGAATTTAATTTTCAAAAAAATCTTCAATTATTCCATAGTAAAAACAGAGAGGCGAAATAATATCCTAGCATATTTGGTAAATTATTATTATTGATTTATTTTTTGTTTTCTATTAACAATTACTGGAGTAATTAATATAACAAATTAATGATAAAAAAAATTCTTATGCAAAATGCAACTGAAAATATTACCTAAAAATGATTATAAAGTTTATATTTATTAAGTAGCTAAAAATAAAATATTGTATTTAAAAAAATTTGATGATGTAGTATAAGCTTTATATGAAATAAATTTCTTACAGAAATAGCTAAATAGCTAGCAATTATTTTTATAAGAAGCGTTACATACTATAGTACTATTATATTTTATTATCATTATATAATATACATTCTTAGTAAAGTTACTCATAATCAGACAACTAGAGATGCAATTAGCTGAGATTGTTTTATAATGCACAAAACTTTTTATTTTAAATATCAAATTTCAAGAAAGATGATAATAAAGGATATTGTAATATAATAAAATTACTATGTCAAAAAACATATTTCATAATTTATTTTCATAATATAATATTAATAATTTTTAAAGAAAAATATGAAAACAACCAAAAAAATTATTTTGTATTTAAATTAAAACAAAAATTTTCTAATTCAAATTATCAATTATTAATTATCAATGAATTTTAAAGCATTATACTTCATATACTTTTCATATATATACTGCAGTAAGATCTACATATCTTATGTTATTATGATATAAGATAATTTGATTGAAATAATAATGTCTATAAAGTAAGAGTGTAAAAATAAATTAAAAAATATTTTTACCAAAAAAGAAATAGAAATAAAAAATATGAAGCTTTATATGACTAAAATTAGTTAATTTGATGATTTTGATGATATTCTAAAATAGAATTAACTGTAAGTAATAAAGGTTAATATAATAACAACTATAATACTATAATTTGTCATTTATATTTTTTATTTATTATAAATTTTAATAACTTAAACATAATACTAGTATTAAGTGGTAAAGATAAATACAATAGCAAATATATTTAATCAACATTTATAATAATCTATTAATTATACTTAAAAATTGTTCATTTTTATTTATCTTAATGTCTAAATTAAAAGTCTGTAATAGTTGATTCTATACATTGGAGTTTTTGACTTTAGAATTTCTCTAAGTCTTACAGGTATCTATTATACTTGAATTAACTCGATAATTTATCGCATCTAAAATTTAAGATATATTAGTTAAACTCGTAATGATAAACTTAATAGCAAATTAGTATAGAGTATCATAACAAATCCTAGATAAAAAATAATATTGAAAGGAAAGTAAATTTGTATAGATTTAAATTGATTTCTTTATTTATAACTTGAAACTCGTATTAAACTTACAGATGAGTTTAATTTACAACCTAAGCAAAAAGCTATTCTATTTATACAAAATTAATTTGCTATAGCTAACTAATAGCTATACTATAAATTAACTAAATATAGATATATATTTCAATAAAATATACTTAAACATAATAAAATAATAAAAATAATATAAACTATAAAAATAATAAAAAGAAATAAAATAAATTACAGATGTTAAAGAAATTACAGATGAAATAGAATAATCAGAATAAACAGACTATTCAGAAAATACAGAAGAAACAAGCATATCAGGTGAAACAGAAATTATTGCTGATTACTATTTGACACAGCAGTATTATCATCTAATGTGAGGTCATTATTGATTGATAGATCCCACGTGATATTTGAAGTTATAATTTCTTCTGTTAACAATATATAACAAAACTTTAAACTTGATTATTTTAAAATTAAATATATCAGAATTTTTGCATTTTCTACTATAAAATGCTGATATAGATAAATATTAGGATCTATTATTTAAAAATTTAATATATTAATTCTAAATATTATATAGCTTGTATTGAATAATCATTAAAAATTTGAGAAATATGTTTATTTTTGATAAAATGTTATAAATTTTTATTTACTTTTTAATCAATAAGTTTAGAATATAAATTATATAAATAATAATATTTATAATAATATTTTTATTCAGTTATTAGATATATTTTTTAATAAATTATAAAAAATATATTAAAATAATAATTAAATCTATAATTATAAAAGATTAATTAATTATAATAAATTACTTTTATTTAGCTATATTAAAGTTAATTATTTCTTAAAATATAAAGAATTAGAAAATAAAAGAAAAAGAGTAACTGATTACATTTAGTTATTTGAAATCTAATTAATTCTTACTTAATAAAAAAAAAAATTAATCAATTCTTTATAAATTTATAATAGTTCTAAATATTTATTTATAAGAAAAATACTTTAAATTATTATACTAAATATAATATTATTATTTAATTATATTCTTAAATATTAGACTTATCTTTTATTTATTTTATCTGATATATTATTTATTTAAAAATATTATTTAAATTATTATTTATTTTAATTTAATTGTAATTATAATTTGTTTATTTTATAATCAATTTTTTCTTAACTTTTTTGTTTTCATTTTAAGTATTATTTATGAAAAAATTGTTAAATAAGTATAAAGCTTTTTCAAATAATTTTATAAATTTTTTTTCTAATAATTTTTATGGAATTTAAATATTCTTATATTATATATTATTATTACTTTTCTTTTAAATACAAATTTTAATTCTTGTTTTTTAAATATTAATCTTTTTTGCTTTTTTATAAATTTATTTTTTAGATTTTAAATTAGTTTTTAAATTATTCTTTAAAAATTCTACTTTTAGTTTAAAACATTCTTAACTTTTTTTTTTATAAAAATAAAATTGCTAGATATAATTTAAAGATTTTGCAAATCATCTAATTAATAAAAATTAAAATTTAGTAAAATAATTAAAACTTTATTAAAAAATTTATAAAATTTAAAAAAAGATAAAACTATATTAAAAATTGTAAAAATAATGAAATTATATTAAAATTTTAATAAAAATTAGCAAAACCAAAATTTTATTAAATTTAAAATAAGTTTAGATAAATACCTTAGTTAAATATTTTAATTTATATTTATCTGAATTTATATAAATTAAGTCATTATAAGTACCTTATATTCTATTAAAATTTTGATTACTTATGATCTTTATTAATTAAATTTTTTAACTTTTTAATTT